AAAGCAACAGATCTGATGATGTCACACGAAGAGGCGGGACATGGGAGCAGCGGGAGAGAGAAAAAAACAGGGACTCAAAACGCTCTGAGCACAGATAGCTGCAGCCAACCTCTGTTACCTCCGCTGGCTCCCTGCCCCCCCTCCGCCGGGGTTCCAGCCCCGGAGCTGACGGTCGGTTCCAGTGCCCGCTGTGTTTCCACTACGTGCTGCACTGTAGTCGACTAAAATCCAGGACCATTTTGAAATTCCCCCCGGACATTTTTTCAGGTATGAAAAGTAGGACGTGAAGGAAAAAGAGGACGTCTGGTCACCCTACTCTACGTTCTTCAGCAGACAGACAGACTGCTGAAGGTTCTCAGTCATTCAGGTCAGAGTCATTCCAAAAAGGTTAAAATCAATCCACTGGACTTTCTCTTCCTTCCAGGAAGCTTTTTCAATTCAAAATGGCAGAAATAGCATTGAGTTCCAGGTTTTATCCAGTAGCCCAACAAAGCCTTGATTTTGTTCAAGCGGGTCCACCACTTTGGAATGGGGGTCGTTTAGCTACTTTGTTTGCCTGTAAGGCCCCATACCTGTCTTTGTCTCTGAAAGGGGGGTCATTAGAGGAAATTATTGGCCTGGCTGAATAGGCGAGATCTTTGGTCCCCAGTAAAGAGGTGGGGCTGCGATGATAGCAGGAAGGAATCGACTCTATTAAACACAAAAACAAAGACCAAACCCCCCAGACCTTATCTGAGCAGAGTAGTGTCTGCAGTTCAATGCAGTGAGGAATGCTCTGATCTTTATATTGGAGAAACCAAACCACCTCTCCACAGACGCACGGCCCAACACAGAAGAGCGCCCTCCCCTGGACAAGACTCTGCGGTACATCTACACCTGATGGACAAAGGACATTCTTTGGAGGACCAGAATGTTCACATCTTGGACAAAGAAGACAGGTGGCTTGAGAAAGGCGTGAAGAAAGCCATCTATGTTAAGAATGAAAAAACAACCTTAAACAGAGGGGGGGACTCAGATTTCAGCTTCCATAAACCTTGAATGCAGCGATAGAGTTGATTCCTTCCCGCTATCACAAAAACGTCTCGCCTGGTCAGCCAGGCCTAAAGTCCAGTGGACAAAGAATGTTCTTCTGTGGCGCCTGAGGAGCAGAACCCAGAACTGCTGGTGTTGAAGTGAACTGGGAAGGTGGACCCCAGAATCGGTATCGGTCATTTTACCGTCAGGTTCTGCATCAACCCGTCAGAATTCCAGAGCAGGTCCAGAAGGGCAGCAGCACCAGCTGCCTGTGGTTAACGGTTGTGGTGTCGCTGCAGGTACTGCGCTCTGCTGCAGCTGAAGGAGAAGTGGGAAGAACAGCAGAAGGAAGGTCAGGAGGAGCAGGAGGAGCTGCAGCAGGAGGTCCAGAAGAACCGGCTTTTACAGCAGGAGAACCTGCAGCTGAAGTCCGAAGTGGATCGGTAAGAACATCTAGGCTCTGTTGCTGTCAGACTCCAGTCCTGGAGGTTCGTGTCCAACACACCCGAGACGCTCCTGGTTCTGAGGCAGTTTGGTTCCTGTTCAGGACACTGGACCTCCAGAACCATCTGGACTCTAAATGTGTCCAATGAGGCAGTTCATGGACATCTTCACCGGGCAGAATCAGAACCAAGGAGAAGGTGCTGGGCTTTATCTCTCCTGAGAACCGGGTTCAAACCGGGCCTCACTGTCTGGTCCACTAGGGGGCGCTTCTACGTTTCAGCAGGAGTAAAATGCCCTGATTCTGCTTAAAGTAGAATTGGACTAGAACCAGAACTTTTTCCTCATCTGGGTCAGAACTCAGTAGAACTGCAGGTGAAAATCTGAGAACCTCAGTCTGACTGTGGTTGACCGTCCTAACCATTAGAACCTCAGTCTGACTTTGGTAGGCCGTCCTAACCATTAGAACCTCAGTCTGACTTTGGTAGGCCGTCCTAACCATTAGAACCTCAGTCTGACTTTGGTAGGCCGTCCTCATAAATCTCTGACCGTAAGGTGCCGTGAGGTAGAGGAAGTCCATCAGGGACTGAACAGGAACCAGCTTTCTAGGTCAGAACCAACCTGGGCTCCATCCGGGTCGGTTCTCCGTCCAACTTCCTTACCTTATCTGCTTAGACTGACCCAGAACCAGGTGCAGCAGAACCAGGGGCTCCAGCAGCGCCTTAATGAGCTGAAGAGTTCGTTAAGCTCCGCCCAGCAGGAAGCGGGTCAATGGATGGCCAGGTACGACTCACTGATGGAGCAGCACCAGAACCTGGACATCACCATGACCAAACTGGACAACCACTGCGAGGTAAACCGGGAGCAGTGGGAGAAGAGGGGGGGTGAACTGGGAGCGGTCTGAACCGGTTGTGTTTGAGCAGCTGCTGAGTCGCCTGAAGGGGAACCTGGAGGAGGAGAACCACCACCTGCTGAGCCAGATCAACCTGCTGAGTCAGCAGAACCAGACGCTGCTTGAGCGCAGCATGGAGAGCAAGGAGCTGTTCCACCAGGAGCAGAAGACCTACATGTAAGGCCGTGCAACTCATCTGACCCCTGACCCCTGGTCTCTGACCTCTGACCCCTGCTTCTGTTCCTCCTCAGAGACAAGCTGAACGTCCTCCGCCGGCAGAAGGAGAAGCTGGAGGAGAAGATCATGGACCAATACAAGTTCTACGACCCCACACCCAAAAAGTAACCCCCCTCCTCCTCCTTCTCCCCCCCACCCTCCATTGTTCCATCCTCATCCTGGTCTCCATCTTCCAGGAGGAGCCAGTGGTCCGGAGCCAAAGCTCTGGTCAAACTCATCAGACCCAGGAAGGAGCAACCGGACCGGGACCGGGCCAGGAGCGCTCCAGACATCCCCCTGCCCGCCACGCCCCCCCTGCTGCCCCCAGAGACTCCGCCCCCTGCTCCTCTTCGCACAGGAAGCAATACGCACAGTAACCATGGCAACCAGAGTCCAGTCCTGACCCCCGTCAGCCGAGGTAAGCTCAACGTTCAGCTGGTCTGATCAAAGCCAGTCAGCTGTGGGAGGGGGCGGAGCTTCTTCAGGGTGCTTCTGCTGATTTGACAGCAGAAGCACCCTGAACCATATCGCCCATCCGGGTCTCAGCAGGTTCTGGACCTTTTGGTTCTACAGATCCTCATGAAAAGGTTCTGAGTTCTTCACCTCCTAAAGATGCACTTCAGGGTAGATCCTCAGGAGGGCACCATGGTTCTGATGCGTGATCTGGTCCAAACCAGTGAGGCGGAGAAGGTCCTGGACTGATGATCAGCAGGTTCTACAGGGTGGACCAGAACCAGGATCAGGTCTTACAGGTTCTGCTGATGTCTGGACCATACCGATGTTTCCTAGAGAGAACCGGACCCAAATGTCATGGTCTCCAGAATCAACAGAACCTCAGCCAGGATTCTGTAGAACCCGATCCAAGATGGATTGAGAAGGTTCTGACCGGTGGTTAAACCAGGTTCTGTTGGGAACTTTCTGATCATCAGTCCTGGCTGGGCTCCGGGTTCTGGTGGGTTCTGTCGGGTTCTGCTGGGTTCTATCGGTTTCTGTCTGGTTCTGGTGGGTTCTGTCCGGGTTTTCTCTGGTTCTATCGGTTACTGTCCTGGTTCTGTCTAGTTTTGTCCGGGTTCTGTATGGGATCTGTCTGGTTCTATCGGTTTCTGACTGGTTCTGTCCGGGTTCTGTCTGGGTTCTGTCTGGTTCTATTGATTTCTGTCTGGTTCTATTTGTTTCTGTCTGGGTTCTGTTGGGTTTTGGTGGGTTCTGCTGGGTTCTGGTGGGTTCTGTCTGGGTTCTGTCATGGTTTTGTCCGGGTTCTGTGCGGTTCTGTGTGGTTTCTGTCGCGTTCTGTCTGGTTCTGTCGGGTCTAACCTCTCATGTTCTTCCTCTCAGCTCCTCCCAAACGTTCCCGTTTCCTCCGCAGTAAAAGTCAGGACAGGCTCCTCCCCCCCTCCCCCTCCTCCTCCTCCTCTTCATCGTCCCGCCCCTCC